AAAAAAAAAAAAAAAAAAAAAGAAAGAAAGAAAGAAAGAAAGAAAAGAAAAGAAAAAAAGATGAGATTCTCACATAATCCCATGACTCCAGAAACTGGAGCATTAAAAAAAGCAACAAATATTGTAAGACTCACGATAAAAATCATGAGACTTAGCAACACTGCCGACTGAGGGATTGCAGAGATGTGGGGCAAGAATACACTATACCTCCAAAGAGGAGATGCAAGCACCTGTTTTCAGCACATTCCCAACCTTTATTCCAAGAGTAGTGCAAGCCTGTATGCTCTGCAGGCAGAATGCCTCTGAAGATTGGCATGGGAGAGGCACACAACCAATTTCCAGCATTACTGTGCGTTACACCTTCCCATTTGGAGAGGACATGGGAAAACATTACAAATATGATAGGGATGAGAGGTCACAGTCTATGTCATTCAGTTGGCTTTTCACTGTAGCATTTTATGTTCTGCAAAGTTGGTAGAATCTGGGCATGACTGCGCAGCAAGATGATCAGGCAGTGGTAGAAAGGGGTCAGCATTTCTACCTAACTATGACATGCTGGCTGATTCCCAAAAATGCAACCCATTGGATGTGTCTGCACCATAAGAACAAAAGGACTGAGACATCAAATGCACAAAATGCTGTCGATTGTCCTTGTTATGCTATAGAGAATCCCGCAGGAACAGCCTTTCTGTGTCATGAGACTGCCGAGTCGCCTATTCCACACTACTCCGTACTGTGAGTGAAGGAACTCTGGAGTAATTTCCTTGTGGGATGAAGATAAGGGAAGCAGTTGAAGACACGTAATTACAGTGCTTATGGTTTCTTTCTTCAGTGGGGAGATACTGCTGGAGACACTATCTCCCAAGAGTGGCGACTGTATATTTATTTCCTAAACTGCCTATACTGCCCTCTTGACCTTGATTTTATTGCAGGCTAAAATTTAATGACCTTTGGATACTCTTACCTTATAGGAACAGAAGTACACGCTAGAAGTTTTGTAATCCCAGTCTATTTTCAAAAATGCTCAACTTTCTTGACTCTGATTTGAGCAGAAAGGATGCCCAACAAATCTTATGCAGAAATCTCAGCAGAACCCTCCTTGCTACACAGACCTATTAATAGTTTCTGTATGTTACTTAAGACGAGCTCCCAGTTCTTGGATGAGATCCTTAATCATAGGTACTGTTCCCAAACTACTTTCAGTCCAGTGTTTGGATTTCTTTGCCTAATCAATAGGTCGTACAGATTCAAATCCATGCACTTTGATCTACACAGAGATGAACTCTGTAATTCCAGTAGGGTGCACAGGGAATCACTTCAACATCACTACCCCAATTAATTACTTCTGTAGGTGCAGTCATAGTACTTCCATGTTTGGTCCGAATAGAGCCCATATTCTGCTTGGAGTCCTCAAACACCTATCTGTGGCAATTCTAAGCATCACATACTGTTGAGGTCAAAATGTGATTTCTGTGGTTTTGGTTTAGGATCCTTTACAGGGTTTTCCTGATTTGACCAATCTGGAATTTAATCTGGATTGTGGAGCCAGATGTCTTGTGCTCAGTTGAACACAGGGGATTCAGCAACAACTCTGGCCTCAGCAATGGCAAGGTACTAAGTCACACATCTCCCTTCATATTTTCAAATGGAAGGCAACCTCACCTGGATTATATTATACACACTCAAATGTACTTTTTTGTTTATGTGAAAGGGTATCAGACACCACATGTATTGACCAATGTTATGCCCTACAAACAGATTGCTCATCTCTCCAGGCAAGTGTACAGATTGGGTCTTGGATTTGCTGGTTTAAATTTATCTTACAGTGATATTTGTTTGACATGGCATTAAATGCTTACAAAACGCTCCTGTAGGTTACACTCTCCTACTACATACATTTACATTTCAAACAGCCTTCCTAGTTTTCCCAGCTGTGTATTACAGCCAGTTTTATTGGAATTGGCAGCCAGAAGTGTCTTTGAAAATCATATTTTCCTTATATCAAAAATTCAGGTGAGGATTTTTTATTTTAGAATAATGTCAATTTGTATAATCAATTGTAATAAGACGCATTGTGTCAATACTGCAGCTCTGGCACAGAGAGCATCTTCCTGGAGAAAAGAGGATTCTTGTATTTTTATGACACCCTGCTTTTCTAAACCCATTGTGTGGCTTTTCCTTTCCTATGCTCTAGAGAAAGGACCTGCTCAATCTGGAACGGGCATAAATAGAGACTAAAATAGGAGCACATGTGTTGGCATCTGTATCAAACTCTGTTTGAGAAATCTATTTACCTCGGTATTTTTCTGGTTCCCATCACTACAGTACCATCTGAGAAAAAAATGTATTGCTATATACTTCCATTAAAACCTTTTGCACCCACAATTTGGGATCCTAATGCTAAGAACATAAGTATTCTTTTGTTATCTCCTATTTTTCTCCCATTACACACACACCCACCCACCCACCCACCCACACATACATTCAGGATGAGATTCTGGGCCTATTGAAGATAATGGCAAAATTCCGATGGACTTAAATACACCCAAGATTTCGCCCTCATCGTACACTTCCCTGTACAGAAACTGAGGCATACCTGAGAACATGTCATTCATTAGATGTGTCATTCATTAGATTAATTAAAATGAGGAGGGTACAAAGTGGACAGAACACAGTATTGTACAGTATTGACAACCAAGTACCTAGAGCAGCTAAGTATTAGATATGGTCTTATTAATCAATTTTGTTCCAAAACTGGTTTGGATTATTTTTTGGATTCCATATCCATAACATTTGAGAAGTATGTTTTGATGAACAAAAAAAATGTGAAGCAGTCCTGGGAACTCCTTAATTACATAAACTAAAATAAAAGGAAAGATCACAAACAAGCCATTATAGATTAATCCCCTCTTGGCATCTGTTATGCAAAACCCAAAAAAGCAAAGGACTATAAAATAAAGCAAATATGTTTTCTGAAGTAAAGATTTTTTAAAGGGTTTTTGTTTCTCCCTTAGTCTAACCTTCTCTCCCTTGAATTCTAAGAAGTTATGGTGGAATGAAAACACTTAAAATAATAAATGAAAACAATCTAAAACAGAGACTGTGGGTAACAGTGTTTCAGGGC